GTCAGGGAGTTTCTGGAGCAGACCAAGCCCTGCCATGTTCCCGGTCCCAAGTGCGGATTTAGTCTCTCAGGGTCTCCTCGCCTGGCACCTCTGGTGACTCCCAAGGGATTTGTGCAATGCCCATGGGATTGAGATGGTGCAACTGCCTTTTGTCTTCCTAGGAAGTGGATGTGACCAGAGCATGGGCCATCAAGGCAGACAGGTGAGACTGGGAGTGTGTTCTTGTTCAATCCCTTTTGGGATGTGTAGCTTTGAGCACGTCAGGCAGTCTCTCTGAAGCTCAGTCCCTCCTGTAAAATGGAAAATGATGCTTATAGATTATAGACTGCACTCTCAGGGGGGCTCTATGGTCTGAGAAGGGCTGAAACTAGTTCTATGGATAGAGCAAAACTTGCATTTGAAAATAATAAATAAATACATGCACACAATACACAAATAGACATAAGTATATATATGACACTGAAATTTCATGAGACTGATGGCAATTAAGAACAAATTTTTAAAATAGCTGCTTGGGAGAGGAGAAAATAAAAAAAATAGAAGTTGAGAAGCACTTCTATAGATTCGAGTTGCTCTGAGACTAAGAGGCAGTGTGGGATAATCACCACGGAGCTAGGCTCTCGGGAGCTACTCAGTAAGTGGTAGTTTTGGAACTGTTACACGTCCAAGCATCGTGTCATTCCAAATGCACACATGAATTCCAACTATGTAATGGGAGTTACATAAATCTTGGTTGGGACTATGGAGAACGACTAGCTGCCAGGACTGACTTCACCTATGTGTGAGTTAAAGGTAAATATGAGAGGCTGAGTGCCATTGTGAATGGATCGCCTCCAGGCTCAGTGTTCAGGAAGACCAGGTCTGAGTCTTTCATTCTTTGCCTACCTCCACTGCCAGGCTGCACCATGCCAAGAGATCACTAAAGGCCTTGTTCGCCACTCCCAGCCTCGCCTGTCTCAGGGGCTCCCCGCCAGTCTCAGGGGCTCCCCGCCACTGCAGCACAGTTTTGTCCCCTGAGTTATGTGACATCATTACAGATGGCCTCAGCGTGGGAAAATTCTCTTTATTGCTGGAGACGTAAAGATAAATAAAAGTATAAGACTCAATTTTTGTGGTTGGCTCTGGAGAGAAGACAGACATATAAAGTAGACATATTGATACAAGGTGATTGAGGGACATTGTGCCTTTGTGCAGTTGCTTGAGCTGAATGTTGAAGAGGAATCAAGAGTTACTAGGGTGATGAAGACAGAAGTTCCTTCTGTCTGCCCATTGTCAGCAACAAGAGCACGTGGAGTGCTGGACGAAGGAGGAGTGGTGTTATGAGGTGCGTGGAGTGGAGAAGATGGACAGCCTAGACATCAAGGAGGACCCTGAGTGCTATGGACTATTGGGCAGTGCAGATCCACAGTCTCATGAGAGCCAGGTGGCAGCACCATCCCATGGTTGCAATGGCAGAGTCCAGGGCCTCCTTTAAGGGCTAAAGCTTCAAGTGGCCTTCAGGCCCCACATCACCTATCTCTTTGCTTCGTACTTCTTTATCCCTTGACCTCTGTGCCAATCGTGCTGGTCTATGTCCAATTTCTTTGGTGCCACAGGACCTTTGGATAAGCTATGGTTCTGTCCACCTGAAATAGGTCTCCTATTACTTCTAATAATATTGGATTAATGTCTGTTTTCCTCATTAAGGTTTAAGCTAGGGACTGTGTCCATCTCTGTTCAACATAATAGTCTCAGCATCTAGCATGGTGTAGGTTCTCACTAAGGATTTAAGGAAGAGTAAGAGGGAGGGAGGGAGGCAGAGAGAGGAGAGAAAGGAGGAAAGGCATGAAAAAAGGAAGAAAGGAGAGGAGGGAAGGAAGGAAAGAAGAAAAGAGGAAAGAAAGGGGAGGAGGGAAGGGAGAAAAGGAGGAAAGGAAAGAAGAACGGAGGGAAGGAAGGAAGAAAAATGAAAGGAGGGAGGAAGGAAGGAAGGAGAAAAGGAGAGAATGAAGGAGGGAAGGAAAGAAAGGGGAGTTTAGGAATTTTCTGAAATTAGAGCTCCCGCAAACTTTCCTGTGCCTTTTCCTTGCCCCAGCCCTCCTCAGCAGACGCTTTCTGCTTTGATGCTGTCTAAGGTGGGGGCCAGGACCCTCATGCTGGCAAAGAAAGCAAGAAGTTCGCAGCTGGCTTTTCATTGGAGTAATTTTCTTCCAGTGGATGATGCTGATAATGAAAGCCACGTCTTCACAGTTCATTTCTAAAAGCTGAAACCAGGCATGCACAATTCATCTTGATGACCACGATGGTCAGAGAAAGTGAGCAAATGCCAGGACTCCAGATGTGAAGAGCCCCCCTGTGTGTCTATGCAAAGACGCCTGTGGAGCCCTAACTCAAAGTGACAGTGGGCAGTGCTACTCAGTATGCTCCAGGGAGCAGGGCTGGCCAGGCCGTCCCGGGCACTCAGGTGCAGTTCTGACAGGGCTCTGGGAGGCATGTGCTCCCTGGGGGTTGTTTTTCTGAGGCCATGTTGCAGTGAAAGACACACAGACCGGGATTCAAAACCTGGCTTATCATTAACAAATCATGTGTGTAGGGGCCTTGGCTTTGCCTTCCCTAAGCCTCAGTTACCCTATTTGGAAACCGTAAAAGGAGGGGATTGTAATAGCATTCTCTCCTGTCTCATTGTCCCATTGTGAAGATTGAAGGAGACACTGAGTGTAAAATGCTGAACACTGACCCTTGCATTGGAAAGTGTTCCATCCACATCAGCCTTTACTATAATCTCCTTATATAGATTGTTACCATAAGCATCATTTCCCAGAACAGAAAGATCACCTCAGTTCATCAAGACATGTATATGCTTTCACAATGTACCACAATCTATGTTGATGTTGTCTCCGACAGGCATTTAGAAGAAAGTTCCTAGTAGCAGTAGTTCAAGAGGCTCAAACTGGAATTGGTCCAGGTGCCCACTGGTAGTACAGTAGTCACATGGGGAACACTATATAGCGATTCAGATAAATATAGTGGCACACATACCATATGGTGATCAGCAATTACTACATAGTGATTCCCATACACCACCTTGACTTCAGCCTGTGTGGGTGAGTCTCACAGAATGTAATGCTGACTGAAAGAAGCCAAACACAAAAGAGTGTAGGCTCTATCGTTCCATTTATATGTAGTGCTAGTATGGGTGAGACTAATCTGTGAAGTTATACCTCAAGGTATTGCTGCCTCTGGAAAGGAGGGAGGGATTTTCCTCAGGAGGGGAGGTGACTGGTAATATTTTGTATCACGGGATGGGTGGTTGTACACAGGTCTGCACACATTGTGAGTGTTTATTGAGTTGTCTCTCTAATGCATGCACTTTTCTGTATCTATGGTACACTTCAAGTAAAGATTTACTAAACAAGCTGTTGAGCAGAAAGCTGAAAGCAAGTACGTTAGTGCCCCTGCTCCTTATCCCATTTTTCTTTCTTTGGTTTTAGTTACCTGTAGTCCGAATATATTAAATGGAAAATTCCAGAGGGCAAGAATGAGAATTAAAGAGAGAGAGATCCAAATAACTTATTTCAGTATATTCCAATTGCTCTTTTATTATGTTATAATTGTTCATAAATTAAGATTTATATTATGCATCCATATATGTATAATTTAGAAATTAAACTCTGTCATACTATGTGTGCACATATGTGTAATTTATAAATTGAACTTTATCGTAGTATGTGTCGATATGTGTATACTTTATACATTAAACGTTAGTATATAGGATTCAGTACGATCCATGGTTTCAGGACTCCTGAAACTGGGGTCATGGGACATGCCGTCCATGGAGAAGGATACTCAGCAAGTAAAACAGTGCTGTGAATTCCTATAAGGGTCTCAAAGTCTGTACCAGAAAGTAGACAGGCAAATCCATGCACAGACAATGGTGGTGAGAGCTGTAATTATAGAACTGTGTGCCAGGAACAGAGGGGAATGTGATCAGCTGTCACACCCACTGCTGGTGACAATACCCCAGTGCTCTATGTGGTTCATCCAGGGGCCTGACTCTCCTGTTCCTTCTTATGCACAACTATGCCATTCAGCTCTAGGAGCTTGGCTTCCATCTATCTACTCCCCACTTTACAACCACCAGCGCCCCCATCTGGGCCAGGCACTGTTGGTGCACACCAAACTAATTGATTTTCTTTTTCTTTCCTTTCCCCAGACTCTTGGCTCAGATTGACTAGATTATAATTTGTGGACTGGGTCTTTTGGATTTTCAAAAGCTGCTGTGAGATTCTGAAGTACCCCAACCCTTGGGAGGTACTGTTCTCCACTAGAACCAGAACACACCTGATCCTGACTCAGTCCACATGAAAATAGTCCATGGCTCCTCAGAAGCACCCTAATTTTCTAGCTTTTCCCAATCTGTCACTAAAAGATAGGTCCAGCTTCATTTCCAGCCCATTCTACTTCCCGACATCCCTGCCCCATTTCCAGTTTCCTCTGATCAACATGCACCTGCTTAGTGCTCTTCATCCATTGTGTTACTTAAACCCTCAACCCTGTGCCTTTGGATTAACTCAGAAGCCTTCCACACTCTTAAGGGCTTCTAGACTCCTATCTACCTCCAGATTCCAGCTGAAATATTACTTCTGTGAAGCTGTCCTCAGTGCTTCTGAGCACTCAGTGATTCTGCCCAGCAGCTCGTGCATGCCAAAATTACATCACTTCCCCTGAATGTCACTGTGCATAGCTGACTATTTGCTCCTGAGGGCAGGACCTGTCCTGCTCATCTTGGCATCCACAGTGCTTCACACCTGCCTGGAAGCTGAGAGATGATCAGGATGTGTCTTGATGGAGTGATGTCTGTGGCCACAATCAATGTCACTTGGGTACAGTGGCTTGCTACAGGACAAGAGCAGTGGTGGGTGGGGAGTGTAGGGTGACCCACATTGAACAGGGCAGAGATGTCTCTAGGACTAAGTTGTCTAACCTATTCATGCTCTTCCTGTTGGTTTTCTTTTTCCCAGTGACCTTCAGTGACTGTAAGGGAAATGACAAACTGCGCTATGAGGTCTCAAACCCTTACTTCAAGGTGAACACTGACGGCGGCTTAGTCTCCCTGAGAAACATAACTGCAGTGGGCAAAACTCTGTTCGTCCACGCGCGGACTCCCCACGCAGAAGACATGGCAGAGCTCGTGATTGTCGGGGGAAAGGACATCCAGGGCTCCTTGCAGGTAACTCAGCTGCTCAGGAGAAGTTGGGTCCAAGAGAAACATTAGATTCTGTCTGTCTTCTGTGGAAAATGGGCTTTTCCTGTGTTGTTGGCCAATATCCTTTTTGTTATTGTTGTTGCTGCAAATGACAGAAATCTAACTTAAAAAGAAAAAACAGTGAGTGGGAATTATTCGTTCATGTAACTAATACTTCTCAGGGCTAGTCTGCCTTCAGGTGTGGCTGTGTGCTGGTACCCAGATGTTGCCATCAGCTTCGAATGGCATCTGTCCAGTGCTTCTGTTTTCTGTCTGTTGGCTCCACTTGGAGAGAATCCCACCCCACCAGCCCATGCCTCCCAGAGTGGAGGTGTCCCCATTTCCACTCATTCTGCCAGGTCACAGTCACCTGAGAGTCTCTTGCTGGTGATGCCAACTGACACATGAAATTGAATCATTGGCTTTTGTTAGCTCACATCCCCATCGCCAAACTAAACCCTGTGTCCACTGGGTTGTGATGATCTGGCTGGCCACATGTGCATGCCACATCCTTTCCTGAAGCCAGGATGGTGTCAGCCCCACCACCTACACTCATGGACTGGGAAAGAAAGAAATATGATCACTTAAAGTAAATGAAGGGGCTTTGGCCAGAGGAAGGCATTGGGTGTCAGGCAGGCAAGAGCACAAGGTCCACTGGAGTTGTACAGCAAGGCAGCCACTGCATATGGCGGTGCTCCTTCACCATGAGTAAGGCCCATTCCTTTCTAGATGCAGAAGGTGCTGGACACCACTTCCACGCATATATATGCATGTTCTCTATGAGTGCCATAAAGTACCACTCAGGCTTCCCAATTATGTCATTCAGACATTTTGTTCTACAATTGACTCACTTACTCCTCCTTTACCAGGAGCTCAGAGATTCTGGCTTCTTGATTAAAGGAGGTTTTGAAAATATACCCAGCAAGACTTCAGCAAAAGAATGAAAGCACAGCCAGAATGATGTCCCCAGCCTTTTGTCCTACCTACTCCCCTCTCCTTCCTCAGGTTTCAAGGCCTGTAATTCTCTTTGCCTTTCTGCATCTGCCGTCCACCCCTCACCCCATAACTCTTCGTTGTCTGTAACTTGGTTCCGCAGTGGAGCGAGCATGGCACACAGCTGGGGAGCAGAGAGAGCACATCTGGCAAACCAGCAGTGCCTCCCCATCGATGCTGCCTCTGTGGTCTTTTGAGAGCCGTATACCTTCTTTATCTTCAGACCAGAGGGCTTACACAGGCTGTGATGGCACATACGTGGCCCATGGGCTACCCCACTCTGTCACCGTGCTCATGGCAGATATGGCCAATTGTGCCTGGCTTCACCTGAGTGTCTTTCCCAGTGCAGTGCTTCTGGAACATACTGCCAATCGATCACCTAGTGGTGTTTCTTGGGATGGAATCTATTTGCCGTTGTCGGACTGGACAAACTCCATAATTCCCCTTCCTCTCTCTGAATCTGCAAGTCTTAGATTGCAACCCCGTGGACCCACTGCATGATGATGTTTTCAAAGACAGTAGGATATTGGTGAATATACACTGCACCGTGGATGCACACCACCACCACAGCACTAGTGTTTCCTCCCATTAACCACCACCATTTTCACAGCATCTCAAGGACTTGTGATGTAAATAATGTTCAAATAACTAAAGCAACTGAGTTCCCAGGGTGTGCAGTGAAAAGTACTTCTTAGCAACAAGTGATGGTATGGAGATTCAAGCCAGGGGCTACATACGTGAGTGAGCGTTTCTAGATGGACACAGTCCTCATGATTGGAGGCTCATGTTTATGTGTTAAAATGACAATGTCAGTAGTATACTTGAAAGGAAGCAGGAGGGATTCTGGGCTCTTCTCAGGAAAACTTCATCTTGAGGGCCCGGAGAGGGGGGCTCATGACCAGGGGCTTCATTGTGCTGGTTTCTCGAGGCCTCCAAAGTCCTTCCCAGTGACATCATTCCTCTGAGCCCTGGCTGTTTCTCACTTGCTGCTGTCTGAGTGCATTGTGGACAAATGTTCCTTCCTATGGAGCTCATAAGGGATGCTCTGCCACCCAGTATGCCAGACTCCAGCAGAACAGGAGGGACATTCGTCTCCCCATTCAGTGATTTTATGAAATTTCAAACAGGCCTTGTGAAGATACCCAGATGTGCATGTAATTTAAAAAACACCAAAAGGGGGAAGAAAAAACAGTAAAAAAAACCTCAAAATAGATAGGAAGAGTCCTTCTGAAAGGAGCCCAGACCTTCATCAATATTTAGTTGGCATTGTGCAGAGGCCCTTCTGTGTGTGGCCAAGGAGGCCAGCAGCTGGAGTGAGTGCATGAGGCAGTTCGGTGCCTGGCTTGGAGGGCCACGAACGCGTGTGTCCATGGCTAAGCACCAGACAGGGAGGCAAAAGTGAGTGGCGCCCTTAGACAAGGGAGAGGTCAGGGAATTTGGGCTCATGTGGCGCTCTCATGCACCACAAACCCTGGCTCATGTAATCTCCTAGAAACCATGACACACATGCTACTGTCACCATTTCACTGATGGGGAAACTGAGGTACAAAGAGATGCCTGACTTGTCCTAGGTCACACAGTGATGAGAAGCAGGTCATGAGCCCTGCAGTCTGACTCCTGAGTACAGGCCTCTGGCTTCTGTGGTGCTGCCTCTTCCTCTTCCTTCCCTTAGGATTGGGCTGCGCTGGGCCTTGAAGGACCCTCCCTGGGGGAGTGGGGGCTGCCCCGGAGGGCAGTGTCTAACAGCTTCTGTTTAGTTTGGACTTTGCCATCCAGAAAGGGGGGATTATAATAGACCTCCTAGGGTCCTCATGAGGATCCACTGAAACAGTACAGGCCACAGGAGCAGCATTGAGCCGAGGCCACAGTGAAGATGGGCACTGGTTCCCACATAGCCCTACATAGCCCTTACTAGGAGCTCAGCCCACTCCGCTTCAGTCACTCTTCATCCCCACCACCTCGGCGCCATTGTCATCTGTGTTTCATGGGTGAGGAGCTGAGAGGCAGGAGGCCACCCCTGGCCTTGGTCACACAGCAGGTGGGTGGCAGAGCTAGAGCTCAGACCCCAGCCCCTCCTTTCACAGGATGCTCAAGGGCCTCACCACATGAGACAGAGCAAAGGCATTCAGAGGCCACCTCCCACAAATCCAATGACAACAGCGGCAAGCAGGGTCTTCCACCCAGCGCCGGATTATCAGAAACAGTTCAGCACCCTTCCTGCGCTCTCTCGCCCTAGCTGAAGCTGACAGGACAGATCATTCCCTATAAATCCTGGCTGCCACTTTGCTCTAGTCTTCTCTGCATCTTGAATTCCACTTTCTGCCAGGGACGCTGGGATTGGTGATGCTGTTTGCAGTGTGGTGCAGTTTATCTCTGCTCACAGCCAGGAGCTCTGCAGTGTTTAGAGACTGGCTCTACTCAGTGCTGCCCACACACCACACTCCCACATAAGCCAGAACCCCATATCCCAGAGGCCATTCTGGGGGCCAGGGGAGGCTGCAAGGGGAATTCTCAATTCAGGTGGCCAGGTGGGAGCAGGGCATTTATACTGATGTGGTGGCATCAGGGAACTTCTGTAGGCTTCTGAGCAGGGGAAAGTGCAGGATGAAGTCAGTCTGATGGGAAATTCCTCCAGCATCTTGATGAAGTAGAGAGGAGAGCTAATGGTTAAAATAATGGCTACCAAGGGCCAGGGATTTAGCTCAGTGGCACTGTGCCTCTCTGGCAAGCACAAGATCCTGAGTTTGATCTCCGGTACTGGAAATAAATAAGTAAATAAAGGCTACTACTATTTTTTGAGAAACTATTTCATGGAATGTTTTCAAGTATGTGCATCTCATGTGTGCATATTTAATGTGAATTATTTCCAATCCTCACAGCCTCCCTGTGGGGTTGCTTCTGTGAGCGCTGAGACACAGAGGACTTGGCCACAGGAGCCCCTAATCAAAATTGACAGAAATAGGATTGAAATTTGGCTTCGCTGTCCAAACACCCATCCTCCTTCCTAACGCTCTGCTTTTCAGGAGGTTGTGCCCTGGGTGGCTGTTGTCTTTACCCACAGATCAGAAGATAAGATCCGAAGTTAGAGCCACACCATGGCAATGAAGGAAAACAAGAAATACAAACTATCAATTGAAGGAATACATATCTAAGATGAAGTATCTAGATAATTCTAAATTGTCCATCCTGGGGATGGAGATGAATGGGAACAGGCAGCAAAGGAGTGGATGGGAAAGAAGTGTCACTAGCCTTGAGTGCCTTAAGCTGGAGCCTCCTGGGGGCATCTTGGTAGACACACCCAGGAGTTGGTGCCCAGTGTGGGGCTACTCTTAGGGTGTAGATTTGGAGGAAAACTACCTACTACCAGTAAGAGTTGAGCTTTGGTATTGACCATGAAGTGGTTCATGTTTCTGATCCACCATTTACTGACTGTGGGACCTTGGACAAGTTACTCAGAGCCCTGGACCCTGATCCTCACCTGTGAAATGGAACTGAGAATAGAGTCTACCCCACAGCATCAGTCCATTGGGCACAGAATTGGACATCAAGCAACAGGTGTGTCAATAGGGTTATTTTGGAACCTCCTGAGAAAGGATAAGGAACTGGGACTGAATATGTTTGCTGAGGTTGTGAGACAAGCCAGAGGATGGAGGCAGGAGGAGAAAATGAAGTCAAACAATGGAGAGAGAAGGCATCTCAGGCAAGGAGGTGGGAAACCTAGCATAACCCGAACAGGACAGACCACAGTTTCTCATCTCACATTGCCACGTGTTGAAAGAAAGGCTCTCCAGGTTGGTACAATCACAGTGCAGGCTCAGCTGTCCTTCAATGAAAGCATGTCCTTCTCTTTGCACCTGCTACTCGAAACCCTGTTTCACCTGGAAAGCCCATAGCCTAAACAGGAAATGCAATTGCTAATGGTTTAATTATAAGACTTTCAAGTTATTTCTGCATTTGTAATGGGCTGCTCAGAATCTAGTACTTGCCTGGGC